CTCAGACTCTATTTCAGAATGTGCAGAGTGGATGCAGGGAAAACCTGGCTCCTTTTAAAGGAAGTCCCAGGGCTTACACTGTCTGCCCCCTAGAAATCTAAGGGTCAAGGATCTACATGGGATTTAGAAGTCTTTAAACAAGAAAACTGGCATATTGGGGACTGAAATCATTGAGAACTCCTCTTGTGTCCTGCCTATAATATATAGAGAGACTGGAGTTTACCCTTCTATTCTAGGAATAGCCACTGCTAAGGGAGACTGAGGTGATGTACAGTTTGATGGTGTCTCAGTATTTATACATCTAATCCTCTGCTTTCCGCTCACTCCAGTTCAGCATATAACAAACAAAGAGCACCAGGTTCCAGCAGTGATTGTGGATGGGATTTGTATGGACTGAAACGTCACAGATTTCATGTCAGCTGTGTTTAAAAACCAAAACACCCCCTCGGCTATTTTAATATATAGAATGTTTTCAGAGTTAACAATTCGGGTACCTAGTAACTAGCCCTTTATTCCCGTCCCTAGGCTTTGGAGATCATTCGTGGGTGCAAAGGACTGAATATAGTGGGAGGCGACCTTGTTGAAGTTGCACCAATCTATGATGCTTCTGGTGAGTCAAAGGAAATATTTGGGACAATAAAGCAAACGTAGAGAACTGCTACATCCAATGTTTGTCAGTAGTCGATTGGGTCCTGTTTAGTTGTGGGCACTGGACGCAGGGGAGGCTCTAACTTTTCTGCTGCCCCAAGCACGGCAGGTGGGCTGCCTTCGGCGGCGCGCCTGCGGGAAGTCCCCGGTCTTGCGGATTCGGCGGCTTGCCTGCGGGTGGTCCCCGGTCCCACGGATTCGGCGGCTTGCCTGCGGGTGGTCCCCGGTCCCACGGATTCGGCGGCTTGCCTGCGGGAGGTCCCCGGTCCCGCGGATTCGGTGGCTTGCCTGCGGGAGGTCCCCGGTCCCGTGGATTCGGCGGCTTGCCTGCGGGAGGTCCCCGGTCCCATGGATTCGGCGGCTTGCCTGCGGTAGGTCCCCAGTCCCGCGGTAGGTCCCCAGTCCCGCGGATTCGGCGGCTTGCCTGCGGTAGGTCCCCGGTCCCACGGATTCGGCGGCTTGCCTGCGGTAGGTCCCCAATCCCGCGGATTCGGCGGCTTGCCTGCGGTAGGTCACCGGTCCCACGGATTCGGCGGCTTGCCTGTGGTAGGTCTCCAGTCCTGCGGATTCGGCGGCTTGCCTGCGGGAGGTCCCCAGTCCCGCGGATTCGGCGTATCGGCCGCTGAATTGCTGCCGAATCTGCGGGACTGGCGGACCTCCCACAGGCGCGCTGCCGAAGGCTGCCTGACTGCCGCCCTCGCAGGGACCGGCAGGGCGCCTCCCGCAGTTTGCCGCCCCAGGCACGCACTTGGAGCGCTAGTGCCTGGAGCCGCCACTGACTGGATGCTGTCTATAGAGTTCAAAGCAAATCGACAGATATTTGGTCCTGGACAGTTGGTGCATCCCTAGAGAACGTAGTGATGGCTGTCGGAATTATTTATAGTCAGCTATTTCTATTCTGTGTATTATAGACAATTCAAACAGCACGTTGCAGGAGAATATTTCAGAAAATGCAGAGTAGTCCTTAGAAATCTAGCAACAATTATTTCAGGATATGCTCGAGTGTGTTACCACTAGTATGTCGGGGAGCAATAGTGCTGTGTAAACAAGAGAGGCCACAGCTCTTGTATACCCAAGATATGGATTCCTCAGCATTAGTCAAAACTCAGCTCAGTCCTCTAAACAGCTGGAAGGTAAGGCGCACTTGTGAATGAACTGCCGTGTTTGTGTAAATCTCTACTTCCGTTCTGTAGTTCTATAGCACCTTCAGTACGAGCACCTCAACCACTAATGATCTGATCCACTTGGTCCCCTTGTAGCTCCCTTTTCAGATGGGGGAAACTGAGGTACAGGGAGGTGACAGGACCTGTCACAGCTCACGCACCAAACTTCCTGGTGGAGGCCATAAATAAAAGCCAGATTTCTGGAGTGAAAGTCCAGCGCTTTAACCACTAAGCAATGCTTCCTCTGTACTGCTGTGGCAGCCAGGTGAATGCAAAGAGACATTGGTCCTGCCCTTGGTGACAGAGGTGACTCCATGCTTCAATAGCAAGAAGGAAAAAACAGTACTTAAAACTAATTTAATTTAGAAAAACCTCTATTTGAACCAATTACGTTCAGAAACGGTGGTAGGCAAAGCACATCCTATAAGATGATGCCTGCATTAGACTCATGTAGTCCAAAGGCACAGCTGTCACTTTTTAGCAGAACGCCCTGTGCTACAAATGGAATTGACGTGGTCATATGTATATAAACACAGCCGGGTTCATGCAGGGGGAGAAGTGTTTGCTTTACAAACAAAACAAAAGGCAAACCAAACACCGTATCTGGTTCTTGGAGATCTGTAGAGATATAACAACACTGGAAGGTCCTGTCCTTGGGCCACTCTGCCTTTAGATTGATTTCAGTGTGAACTATACACATAAAGGGGCAGACTTGGAGTCTTAGGTTGCATTTATGCTGGCAAAAGTCGGCTGTGCATTTCACCACTGGTGTTGCTCCAACAGTGTAGCAAAGGCGAGTGATCGTATGGACAGGACCCAGTGTGTTCTCTTCCCTTGTACAATGGTAAAGTCTACAGCTTTCCACCAAGGCACTCCCTAAGAAAGTAGGACCAGTTGTGAATTAGGGGGCGGACTCTGTGTTTTGGCACTTTAGATACAGCCTTAGTGTACTGAGCTAATTAAACTTGTGTGACTAAGAAATAACTTACTTGTGTTTTGTTTCAGCTGTTGACTATTAAATACTCTAATTTATTTCCTGGGGTTGGGGTAGAGATTCCATTTGAAGACAAGAAGTCAGTTTGGTAGAACTAAGGCATTCAGCATAACTACATTTGTAGTTTACCAGCACAGACAGCTTTTCACTAGTGTATGGCTTTTAAGCATCCGGTCTCAGTCAGGCAAGTGAATTTTTTCAGGAGCACGTCGTGGACTCTGCCAACATAGAGTCAAATACAGGATTGGGGCCTTGGTGTCGGAGGAAGAGTTGGAAAATAACTCCTTGTAGTAAGGACTTTCTGACTGACCCTTTAATTGGAAGCCATTGGATATCATGGTTTTTTCCTTTGTTTGTAGGTAACACCGCCCTCATGGGAGCAAATCTGCTGTTTGAAATGCTGTGCGCACTCCCGCGAGTCAGAACGATTTAAAGCCGTGTAGGGCGGGCTCCAGCTTATGCAAATCAAGTCACGACCACTATCTCTTCACCTACACGATGAGTTCAATAGTCACAGCCTTTCTGCACAAATACTTCGACACAATATGAATGGGGAAAGAAGCCTGCATGGAACAACCCAGTCAGATTTTGCTTTTAAATGTCTGCTCTCCATCACTCTCTGCAGTTAGAGAAGGGGCGAGGGAAAGCTCAGCTTTGTGGTAGAGAATAAAAACCATTCCTCACCAGACAAAGTCATTTCAAACTCCTCGGATGCTCTAAGCAGCAGCTAGCAGAGATGCTGGAATTGGGGGGGCAGGCTTACTGTTCACGTTGCTGTAGTAATATGGCTTAGCAGCACATGGATCCAGCGAGGGCAGCTTGAATTCTTTCAATATAAAAACTGGCGGCTCTGATCTAAAATGGGGGTTTCTTTTGGAAGTGCCTAGTAAAGATTTTTTTCCACTAAAAATAAACCTAGGAGGGGAGCAATATACAGACATAATGTAACATCCTGGCTCCCTTCCATGGGCATGGAATAGAATAGAAGTTCTTCTGGCCTCTTTATGCAATGGATCCAAACTGGCACTAGCTCCAAGCCCTACATTACGAGATGACTTATGCCAAGGCACTTTTGTTCTCCATCTCAGTGATGGGATGTTTCTAAACCCCCTTTATACATGATTTTCCCAGGTCCCATAGCTGTCAGTCTTCAGGAGGCCAACAGAAACTTTGACTAAACTGCAGGGCAGTTTTTGGAAACAGTTGTCCTTGGTTAAGCAGCCCTGTTGCCTGAGTGGAGATAACTAGCCCATTGCATTTGCTAAATTACGAGCAGTTAACAGCCATCGAACTTTTGCAATTAACTCACGTACGCCACACCGCATTGTCAATTTGTAGATTAAAATGCAAGGCCACCTCATCGTCTCACATTAAAATAGTTTATTTCAGTTGCGGATCTGTAATAATCTTAAAACAAAATGACATTATCAGTGCCTGTTCACAAATACAAAAACAAAAATTAAAAAAAGACATTTGCCAAATAAATTATTTCCCCCCCTCTAAGAGTATCAAAAGTGCAAAATATTTACCTGCTTTTCAATCCAATCTCCCAGGCTGCCTTATTGTATTAGTTCCTGGCAAGCTTCTACTGACCATATATATGTCAGCCATCACTGCAAGGCTGCTCTGTACCACACTCAGTCAAGGGGAAAGGTCAGGTACAGTATTTGGACTCTAGGCTACATTTCCCTGTGTTGTAAAGATGTTTCGCTTCAGCTTCTAGGAGTTTTACTTTAAAAAAGCTTGTATTTCGGTTTCTCGCAGAGCAGTGCATTAGCACTGAAAACTTCCTTGCTCTTAGCTCAAGAAAGTATCACGCACAAACTGAGAATGGCCGAGTGCATTTCCTTCGCTATGAAACAAACCAAAGGGCAATAGTGAGGGCAGCAGGACAAAAAATTATCCCAGGTTAATGGTCTTGCAGCATCTGGAAAAGGGTGGAGGGAAAGCAGAGACATTCAATTCCAAGCAGCTGAGAGGTCCTGTGACTGGTCTTCCGCACCAAATGAATAATGTAACTAGCTGGGTATCACAGCAGTGCTACCCTTGCTGAACAGATGAATTCAGAACGGTTGGGGTGTGCCTGAGCCCCAGAAAGCGTAGCTTCTCCCTAAAAATACAATGTACTAATAAAAAATCATGTACTTTTACAAGTGAGCTGGTTTGATCTCCTGCAACTTTGTTCTACGTTCACTTTTATCAGTGACTGAATGGAATCTGTAGCACCCCCAGTTGGCTATTGCCTGACGGTGTATTACTGTGTGTGCTCTCTCCACAAGACCCACATCAACAGGTGTTTATACGCAGGGTAAGAGTCACCCCTCTGTAGAGAACCAACACAAGGCCTACACCCCACTTGAGCCTCAATATAGGGTTTCAGAAATACCTATAGCCTTTTCCTGGGTCCTTGGACAGGGGGAATTTCTTCTACACAGCACACTTGGGCCCTTTGTTTAAAGCCCTAACGTTTGACACCAAAGTTTCTGACTAGCAGAAGAGACAGTAACAGCCAGCTTTTGTAAATCCTCCTCCTGGGCCTAACCCGCTCCATTGTTCAGCTGTGTTTAGAGGGTCAAACATTTTCTTTTTAAATCTGGATTCTCCTGCAGTGTGTCCAACTCTGGGGTTTACAGCACTGTGTTATGCCAGGTAAGACCCAAAAGGCAGAACTGGCTACAAACACAAAAAATAACCAGGCTATTTCATTACCCAAGCCAACAAAAGCACCGGCTTCAACAGAAACAGCACAAAGAGAGAAAAGTCAGTCTGCTGCTTAAGGTTAGTTCAGGGACAGTCTAATGCCTGGGTTTTTCAGCATTTTATTTCTACATATCTCCTCAGACGAAAACTCCTCTCCTTCCTTCTCATAGCCTGTGCTCAGTAATCAAAACGGTTCATGCTGCAGATAGGACTTTACAGATTAAACTCCATTAGTTTAAGTAACATAGGTAAGGTTGGTTAAGTCTAATATTTTAACCTGACAGTACCCTTATATATAAGAGCATTATGAGTATTGTTCAAGTGGTCTTTCGTTAGATGAAGCTCGTCTGTTCTTTAAGCCAAGCAGAATGCAGCAAGTCACCAATTCAGTGGGCCACTATCTCACCGTTATAAAGCTCTGAGGACTGTTCAGACAATCAGGTTGCTTGAATAGTCCTAGGTCTCATTTGGGTCAGAGGGTGGCTCACTTGGTGGAATATATACCCATAGTACTGGGCTGCTCTGTTGGAGAAGGGGGGAAGGCAGTGAGGTTTTTAAGTAAACCCCCATGCTTGTAGGAGTGCTTCACAATAAGGTTCAGAATGCTACTCGGGAGTTAATCTCAATCTGAATTAGAGGAAAACTCATGCAGGATTTGGCCATCATGTACCATAACATGACCTACTCATGTGGAAGCCTCAGATTCCTATCCAGGTCACTTTGGAGAAGTTTATTAAGTTTACAGCAAACATCAGATAAAGTGACTGAGTCTACGCGGATTAACAGAGAGAAAAAAGGAAGTAGCAGTGTCACAAGATTACAGTCCCCTGCTTTGAAAAGAAACCTTTCCCTTTTACCTGGACGTTCAGGTAGCAGCTCCTTGTGACTACTTGTCACTAACAAAAAGCCAGCTCCCTGGGCAAGCCAAATGGCTGGTAGGGGAGCCCATTTGATATAATTAAGTACAGTAACTCCACAGCCTAGAACCATTCCAGTTTTACACTGAACCATATGTTTAAAGAAAGAAAAAAAAAAAGGGCAACCTGTATGTTAAGAAACCTTTGAGCTGAGGATAAAAACAAAGTGAGAGAAGCTGAAACTAAGCATCTTGTAAACGTCTGTCTACAACAAAACTAGGTCCACATGTAACAGACGATCTGATGACAGCACTTTTTGGGCAACATAGTTCAAAAATACAATCATTAAAGAATTAAGTTCCTTGATACAAAGAAGTGTCGATATTGTACTAGAGATGTACCATTGTTGTTTGAAAGGTGTCCAAGTTGATTCACTAGCAGGTGACATTTTCTTTTACATGTCTACTGGCTCATAGCAGCTTACGCCTACAATCTGAGGACATGGGTAAAGTTATGGCTCTAAGAGACACAGTCTAAAAATCGACAGAAGCAAAAAGGCATCTGAAAAACAATGTACATTTAAATGGCTCAACATCTTTACAGTATTTACGGCTGTGTTAATCCCCTTCCCTCCCTGCCTATGGCTTAGCCGGTGAAGCTGCACATGGAACTATTACACAAGGAGCATGAAACATGCAGATCGCCTACGAGCCCCCACCGTCTGTAAATACCGGCTATCGGTTTGCTACAAGGGAGATACCCCCAACCACACTCCTAAATCACTTACCGCAGGGAAAGCTGATAAATAAGAATGCTTGGTATGAGGCCTTTCAGAGTTGCAGAGGCTGGGGAGATTCTGTAGGGTCCTCCCAGTATCACACCATGCACTGTGAGCTAAGCATTGAGAAGGGGACCTGACCTACGTAACAAGTTCATTGTGTTCAGTCCAAACTGAGTTACCGTTGCGAAGAACTCATAGGTTTTCTTCAACTGAGAAAAAACAAGAGACCGGACAGAGGCGATGCGGTGAGCAGGACATTAAAGGAAAATAGACTGGGTTTTGTCTTAGATAGTACAGCATTCAAATACAAGAACAATTTGGTACAGAGGACGTCAGTACGTTTCATCTTTCACTCCTAGGTCAAAGATGAAGGAAGATACTTCTACTCACTGGGCCTAGGAGAGTTCATCTAAAACCTACTGTCCATTTGTCATGACTGTTTATTCCTGGAAAGAATTGTCCATGGTTGTCATCTTAAAAAGTTTGTAGCGTTAGAATCTCTTTTAAATCCCTTCAGTCTAATGCAGGCCAGGATGGAATATAGAACCTTTGTAAGGAACCTTCTAAGAGACGTTCCATCCATAAGGACAACTTGCTTAACTTGTTTTTAGCTTGTTTGGATCCTGGACTGCAGGAGGATTTTCCTCGGGCTTCTCCTGTATGTAGCAAGGGGTCATAATCCTCACAGGACCCCATGGTTCCCCCTTCATCCCCCGATCTGTGAGGCTTGAAGAGGCAGAAGTATTTCTTGTGGCCATTTAGAGCTAGGACGTAACCGGTGTAGTCGCGCTCCAGGAAATGTTTATCATATTGATTTGGAATGGGGGCAGCATCCTGGGCAAATTCTAACAAATACTCCAGCCATTCTCTATGCTTATCGAGGCTCAGGAAGGAGAAATGAAGACAGCTGCTCCTGTGGGAGAAGTGAGAGGGAACCAATTTAGACTGTGTTCCGGTTCAGACCAGACACCACCCAGGAAACATCAAGGTTAGAAACTGAAGGAGGGTTGAAGTAATTTATTTTTTATGTTTTTGCACAAACTATTTTGACTGACTTACAGCCCTGGAAAGTGAAGCCCTGTATTTGTCCGAACACAGGCATAGCATAAGTGGCAGCAGAGAGACCTGGAGAGGAGAGTTCAGGCTCCATGGCCCATCCAGTCCTTGGCCTCTCTGCTGAGATTACCAGTTGCGCTAGTGGCAGTACGGAGAACATCCATCCATTACAAAGTGGACTGAGCCCACCAACCCATTTAATGTTGGCTACCAAACAGCTACCCATTTAAGCCTTCTCACAGGTGCAAGCGCCCACATGAAGGTGAAGGTGTTCTTGGGAGCAAGCATGCAAGTATACACGTGACGAAGCAATGCAACAATACACACCCCAAGCCTATCCACTGTGCGATACTACACAGGCCATTAAGAGCATAGCAGAAGCCCAAAGAGGAACTCCGTACTGACCCTGTGAATGTGTAGACTTCCAGGGCAAACTTCTGAAGTAGACTGGTTTTGGTGGGGTTGGAAAGGATCAGAACCACGTTCATGTGACCCGGCCTCAGACGCACCAGATTACTAGTATAGGTAACATCTGTTAGCTCAGTCACTTCGACAAAGCCCTTTTTGGGAATCCTGCTGGGCAGAGAGAATGATTCAAGTGAAAAAGGAGCAAAGGACCGTAAAATGCACCTGGGCACTATAAGGAAAGAGTGACCTAGTGAAAAGTCACTCAAAACCCATGTCACAATGTGTTGGCTAATCTGGCACAGTGCAGAACCCCTGAAAACTCACACCCCCTATGTCTCCTATCCAAAGCCTATTAAAGGAGTTTATCTTTGGCCCGCTAAAGATTAGATACTCTTTGGCAAATCATTGTCTCTTCTCCTTCATCACTCCACAAAGCATTTGTCTAGGCAAACAGGTGGGTTTCTAAGTGACTGTATGGTGGGAGGAGGATAGATTTTAAATGTAAGGGATGGAGAAGGGTGGGTGGATGGAAAGAAGTTGGCTGTACAGCCACTAGTCTGTTGCTAGTTCAAAGAACTTAGCAGTGGCTCCCTTGTCTGACAGATTTCAGTCACAGCTCAGGTAACAGCTACTTTCCAGTTCTCTACCTCGAAGGGGCTTTTGGTCCCAAATATTCAATTTGTTGCTTTCCGCTGACTGCCCATTCCCCGTGCACTCTTTATATCAGCTACACCAAACTCACCCACGCACTGCTGTTCACATGCTGCCTGCCTGTCACTCACACCACCATGTTCACACCAGCTTCATTACTTCCCTACTACCTACCCACTGCCCTCTCTGCCTGGGGGAAAGGCAGTAGGAGCAAGACTGTGCCCCACCAAGCCTCTTGAGCAGGAAAGTGAAGGTGCAGAGAAGGCCTGACTAGTGCAGGAAGGAGTTAGCAGGGGAAACCTGTTCTCTTTGCTGAAGGTCTTTTCATTCTCTTCATTGGGTTCTTCTTTCTGGGGGAGAGGAGAGTCTCTCTCATCACTCGAGTCGCTGCAAAGGAGCATTTTAAAACAGGGTAAGTTTCAACTGAGATGCTGAAATCTGGTCTGTAAGGCTCCAACAGATGGTCTGGTAGGTACTCACCTGAAAGCCTGAACAATAACAGTGCCAAAGAGAATGAAGAGGGCTGAGAAGATCAGGGACAGAAGTGGCATCATTTCCCGCCTAAGAGAGAAGGTTTGCAGTTAGTTCTGAGTTCCTACAGTCAACCTCTGCCTCAGGTTTTCAGCTCCCTTCCACCCCCGATAACAGCATATAATTTCCCTTGAACTGACTGTCTCCTGTTTGAAGGGCTTTAAGGGAAGCGCTCTCATTGTTCCTATCTCCTAACGAAAGGCAGGGAGACAAATGGAAGAATGTTTTTAAAACACCCTAAATTCTAATGAAAACCGCACAGCAAGACAGCCAAGCCAGGACTATTGCCAACAGGAGCGGTGTGTTTTCAGTAGCACAAAATCCAGTGGCAGACCTCAGCTTCACAGCTCAACTGGTTACCCAGAAAATGAGGCAGAAGTCAAGCTTCACTGCTTTTGAATTTATCCTCAGGCAAGACAGAGGGCTATTACAGCTATACCCAAAATAAGAGCTATATTGATATTATAAATCAGATTCCATACCAGTTATTATGAAATACGCTATCCCAGCAGTCCGAGACATACTCTATTGCGGAGTAGAGCCATCGGAGAAAGAACACCTGTGAAGTTACAGCAGATCAATGACAAGGAGGCTGCTCCCTCCCCCCACCCGTGAAGAAACAAATCAACTATGTGACTATCCCCTCTGCACCCCTTGTCCAAACCAGCTCAACTACCTCAGAGCACAGGGGCTGCCCCCTGCAGCTGATGTGTACACAGTGAATGAGTCTTGCCTCTCCAATACTCAAAACTCTAGGCACAATTTCCATCACTGACCACAGTGATGCAGTCTTAGCCCTGGTCTACACTGGGGGAGGTGAGGACACAAATCGATCTAAGTTACGGACAACTTCAGCTACACGAATAATGTAGCTGAAGTTGATGTACTTAGATCGACTTACCGTGGTGTCTTCACCGCGGTGAGTCGACTGCTGCCACTCCACGTTGACGCTGCTTGCGCCTCTCGCAGCGCTGGAGTACAGGAGTCAATGGGAGAGCGCTCGGGGGTTGATTTATCGCATCTAGACTTATGCGATAAATCGATCCCTGATGGATCGATCGCTACCCGCCAATCTGGCGGGTAGTGAAGACATATCCTCAGAGTTAACTACAGCCAGCTAATATAAGTTTGTTATGCCTCTACAAAACTGAGAATACTTACAGGAGCAAGTTCATCATTCAAGTCTGGCAGGACAGTGTCTGAAGAGAGCAGACCAGGGTCTGTTCTTAACTGAGCCAGAAGATCCAAAAGGATGAAGTTATCCTCTTCACTGCCCTCCCAGGCATCTTCCAATATTTTATAGACCACTCTTCCTACATTATTGCGCCTTTCCAAGATGGCCACCTGGACAAAGCAGTAACAGCACAAGCTTCAGGGAACCAGATACCAGCTTGGAAGAAAGCCTTGATGTGTCAAATGAGAATTCAGAACTAGGATCCAGATTAAAAAGTTATTTCAGTTCGTCTCTCATGACACCCATATCAAAGGGCGGGCACAACATCGGAATGGGAACAAGTATAAAAAGTAGCTGCATGTTCCATTATACCCAATAGGCACAGAGATGAACAGCAGCACGTGTTCTCTGAACCCCAGCTCCTGTTCTTTGGAAGCACAACACTTATTTTGTATAGTGTTTTTCCTACACACTGCATTCCACATCACCTAACGCAACTAATTAGAGTTAGCCAGAAGGAGAGTAATTAAGAAGCATAGGCAAGGAGGAAAAAGAGGGATGTTTTCTCAGCAGAGATGTGAAATAAAACAGTGGATTTGGTGGTGAGACATAGGAGGGTCATTCCAAACAGGAGGAGCTGCCGAGGACAAAGCTCTCACATTAAGAGTGGAGTGACAGAGTGAATGACAGAAGAGAACAGTGCTAAATAAGCAGGAGTAGTTTGGGAAGTAGTAGAGAGAAACAAGGTCCATCCATGAGACTGGAGGGGTTTAAGATCAAAGAGGACATTTTGAACTGGACAGTGAAATGAACAGAGCCAGTGGAATCATGAGAATGGAAGATGACGTGGTTACACTTTGTCCATGTCAGAAGGCAGGCAGCGGTGTTCTGCACATGCTGGAGTCTAGAGAGCTGAGATCGGGACAGATCAAAAAGAAGGGAATTGCAATACACAAGACAATGAAGGTCTGACCTGAGGCAGAGCACACCAACATGCAATACAAGAGGATCTGTTAGAAGTAGAGAGGTCTGATCCTGCCCATAACATGCTCCCGTAATATTTCAAAGAAGCAGCATCAATGTTCTCTCCCCCTGAACATTTGAAGAATAAAGCTCAGAGAAAGAGAGACGGAATTACAGATTAGGCAGAAGGAAAATGTGACACTCACGGCAGATTTCCCCCAATATTTCTCATCATCCATCAGCAAGGCCTGGGCAAAGTCTCGCTGACGGTCGTCGTAGATATGCACAAACCTCACGGTGTCTTTCGTGTTTGCCAGAGCAAAGGCCACAAAGGCCTCATAGGTCTTAGCAAACTTGTCACCCTCGCCAGTAAGTAAAACCACACAGTACCTAGACAACACAATGAAATGGAGGATTCACAGCAGGCCTGGAGACACAAAGGAATAACAAACCCAACCTGCCAGCTAGAACAGACCCTGACGAGCCAGAGAGACACTTCATCGTGTCTACCTTCTTACACACTCCATTGCCCAATGTTCCAATCTTAGTCCTTCCCATCTTCTATGTTTCTGTCCCCGCAGAGTTACTGCAAGGTACTCTGTTCCATAATACAAGAACAAGGGGATAGTGAACTGAAAAGTGGCACGTTTGAAACTGATAAAAGGAAGCACTTTCACACAACGCACAATTAGCTTCTAGGACTCATTGCCGTGGGACAGAGGCCAAGATCTTAGCAGGATTCAAAAGTAGATTAGACATTTAGATGTATAAGAAGAAGATCAAAAGTTCTAATACTAAATATAGAGAGACCCCCCCCCTCAATGCCTGTGAAGGGATATAGACTTAACCTTGCATTATTAGGGGTTAGGAGGAAACTTCCCTGGGGACAGGTTGTCCCATCACTGCCACTGAAGGGCTTCTTGGACATCCCTGTGAAGCATTTGGCACGGGCCACTGATGGTGACAGGATACTGGACTACATGAACCACTGCTCTGATCCTGTCTAGCAATTTCTATTCTTCTAGTGAACCCCTTAATGGACCCCCCCAGAGAGTTAAACAAGACGTCGCCTGTAAGCAGCCACCGGGAGTAGGAGCGCATGAGGATAGGAGGAACTCCCATCGCAGCAAGCCTTACTTCCGCTGACGGTGAGACTTCTTCACAGGACACAGCTCACGAAACAGTTTCTGGTTGGTGAGTCTGGCTGCCAGAAGGAACTTGTTCTGGGAAAGGAAGTCATCAATGAGCTGCTTTTTCATCTCTCGTGCCTAGAAAGGACAAAAACAGAAGATCAGCACAGTTCAGCTAAACCAGAAGGATGTTCAGCTCTCAAGGAACATGAATGCTCTAGTGTTAAAGGGTCACCATGATGAAGGTCAACAAGCTGTTTTACACAATCGAAGAGATGTTCGGGAGATTGGAAGTGTGGCCACTCATGACTGCCCCTGGAGAAGGGGCATTAAACAGCTGTTGTTGCTGAGGGGGAAAAAAAATCAGAGCATCCAGTAATATTAAAATCCCAACTGTCAGAAATTGCAACAGTGACTGAAGGCTTCTGACGACTCAGCATTTATTGGGTGTACCTGCACAAGAACAAAGGTTTGGGCATATCCCATATGCAGCCTTTCACTATTTCTCTGTGAAACCTCTAAGTCTCACGGACTCTCTAAGGAATTCCTCAGAGCCAAGGGTTCTTCTCAGGAACTAAGGATTTCTGACAAAGCTGAATTAATTAAGAGTTGCCCTCTCTCTGTACAGTCACTGCGCCACTGAAACCCAAAGACCTGCCCTCCTCCACCAGCTTAGCTACAAAACTATGTCCCAGTGAAAACCACAACTGTCACCCAGTTATCCTCCAAGTTCAGATGCCTGTTGAAACCTACAGAGCTCCCTCCCTCCCTGACGGTCGGTCAAGACATCCTTCTGAAGCTCCAATTTCTGCTCCCATCCAACCCAGAGTTGGTTTGAAATGCTCCACTGATCAACTTCTGATGTAAGAAACAGGCCAGAAAAGCAGTTACTATACCTCTACCTCGATATAACGCTGTCCTCGGGAGCCAAAAAAAATCTTACCGCGTTATAGGTGAAACCGCGTTATATTGATCCACCGGAGTGCGCAGCTCTGTCCCCCCAGAGCACTGCTTTACCGCGTTATATCCAAATTCGTGTTATATCGGGTCATGTTATATCGAGGTAGCGGTGTATATATTTTATTTAAAACCCAGATAGACAGACAAAGACGCAGACCACAAAGTGATACCTGAATAACATCGGCAGGCTTATCAATATGTTCCTTGAAGATCATCATGGTGGGGGTGTAGACGTTGATGTTATATTGTCTGGACAACTCTTCAGTCCCTCTGAGTCCAACATACACGTATCCAAAGGACAAATAATCTCTGTATGCAAAAGCAGTGAGCTAGAGGGAAACACAGGTCCAGTGCATGTTTACATTGCAGATCATGCTTTGATTCTTCCCCAATAAAGCTTATGGTGACTATTTCCCCATAGTCTCCACAGCATTGTTAAGTCTACAACAGCCAAATGACACACAAAGTCAGCCCATTCCCTTTACTAGGCTTATTACACAGTTAGCTTCTTCCTCATGACAGAGGAAGGTTGGCGGGATCCAGAGTTTCATTTTACAATCTAACATTCTATATCTGGCCAGATGTTTCTTTAGCAACTCATCATCCTCAAACAAACGAGACCCAGTGCTCAAATGGCCTAGATCATTAACTATTTGTGGTGGGAAAAGAATGATGGTTTCTCCCCTTGCCCTCAACCCCAGCCACGCCCTTACTTCCACTAGAGATCCGTCTATGGCAAGAGAAGTAAGTTCTACTCATATTCAGATGTTTAAACTAGTTAGCAAAAGCCGGTCACCTGACTATGCAGTCTCCAAATAACACACATGAAATTGCTGGGTGTTCGGGGTGGGTAATGCTACTTAGAAGAACCATCCAGCCTGTGCCTACACCGAGATCCCATTCTCTACTAAGACAGGTGGATGTACAAAGCTATCCAAATGCCAGAGATAACACACAAACACACACACGTTACCTTGTATAACAATGGCACTACTGGCATATGATCAAACAGAAGGACATGGGGTTTATTTTCTTTCTTCCAGTTCGACAGGAATCGGACATAATTTTTATCTGTAATCTTAAATGTAAAACAGAACGTTCGTTTCAACCTCAATTCATTCAGGAAACTGAAATTCAATAAGGTTAAATGGCTGCCTTAGAATTGGGTCCTAAAAAGCTGCCAGAATGTCATGATTTCTGTTTTGTAAAGGACACCTGTGCCCATACATCTTTTCCCGCTAAGGCGATTTGTGCAAAACCAGGATTTTTACACTAACAGTTTTCTCTGCTTTTGCTGATCTTTCCTGACTTGATGTCATAAATTCTCCGTGGCATCATAATCATTTCCACAGCAGCTAACCGGTGGTCATTACTGAGGATTAGGACTTCAGATGGGGAATAAGCAAAAAGGGCAGAGTAGAAGTCAAACAATCTGTTTATTTAAAAATGTCTCTAGTGATAAAAAGCTCTGTCTGCCAAAAGGGCTCAATGCGCTCAACTCCCATTTACAGGCCTGATCCAAAGTGTGCTGAAGTCAACAAAATGCTACCCAACTCACTTCAGTAGGCTTTGTGCCAGGCCTACAAATCTGGAGGAGTTGAGAATACAGAAAATCTTGCAAGAGATACTTATCAGTTTGCAGGATAGGGCAAGGGAGGAGAAGAGACATACAGTGATGGTCTCTGAGGTCACGTCCACACCGGAGCACCGTTTTGGAACCTGGCCATGGCTACCCTCCGAGCAGAGTTCAAACACCATTCCTTAATATAGTTGTAACTATCGCTGGTGTAGTCCCAAACAGTGTCAAATCGGCACCCGTGTGGTTACGAGCCCTAACGTAAGCCACGTGTATGATCAAATGCTTACCATGAAGCACTGCAGTTAACCCCGAAGGACGTGAGTTATGGTAAGTGGGGTATCATCAGTGAGGGGGGGTGTCCTGCTGCCAGCTCAGGCACCTATCTCACCATGCACAGGGGAAGATGGAGAAAAATTCCATCTTGTGCGTGAATGTAGTGTTTCATTCAAAACCGCCTCCAGCATTTATAGCTGTAACGATTTCACTCATCAAACCGCCATTCTCCCTTGATGAAGGCCATTGCAAATAGCTTCAGAAACTTCTGACAGCCCCAAGACAAAGGTCACATCAGAGACTGACTCTGTCAGATGATGCGTCAGAGACAACAGAGATCCAAGTGTCTAGCACACACTACCACTTATCAGAATCCAAACACGCTGATCTCCCTGTCACGTACCTTCTCTATGAGGTTCCCTGGAAGAAGGCTCTCTACAAACTGCCTCAGGTTCTCTCGGATGACCGCATTGTGGAAGAAGGATATTTTCCCATTAATAAGTCCCAGAATGGAGGGTGTGCTGTGTGCTCCCAGGTGATGTGCAAGGCGTCTCTCATACCCAGCGTGGACGACTCCAATTCCCACCCCTGAAAACGGAGGGCAAATCCAAAAAGAGGGTCACCGTGACATGGTTGGTGAATGACTGAAACTCCCCTAAAGGGAATCAGCACTAAGGTGGCTGCTGTTATCCAGCACACCGAGAGGATGAATTATTCAGCTGGTACTACATAGTGTTTCCCCTTTTCACATTCCATGGAGAGTTGTATTACTCTGCTCTCAGGAAGAAGTAATAATGGGACCAGCTCCTCCTTACTCTTCTGCCTAAAGGTTCTCTATTCGGCATGTTAAAACCCCAAGGAATATACAGTGCAGCAACTTCTTGTCCCGGCACTCTTATTTTGGATTCTATGTCCTCTGTACCGACCATCTCCGGTTATGTAGATGACCCATAAGGGGGACAGGAATTTTCTGAGCAAGAAACACTGTAAGTACTTAACTGGAATCCAAGTATACTTTGCCAGGGTTCCCTGATTTTTATTTTGGATGCCAAAATTTTCTCCCATCCTCCTGTGTCCTACATGATAGTGGCCTTGACTCTGGTCAAATTTGGGCTGGCTCACAGCTCCCTTTAGACTCCAGATTGCATCTCAGGACCATTCTTGGTATATATATCAAAGGGCAATGCAATGTTTATATTGCAGGCCAGAACATAGTAGTACCTGACCATGCAACAATCCTTGGTGCTATTTAGAGTGATGCAGGCACTAGGAATGGTTTAATCACACTGCAGCAGAAAAGGAGACAATCGCTGAATTTAGAGATGGAAGAGACTCCCCAGACTGCATCTAGTCCATTCTCTGCCAGGGCTGGATTTTCTAATGTCTTGTCTTGTCAAGTGCCAGCTATCTACAGGGATGGGGCTTTCACCAGCTCCCTTCAGAGACTGACCCAGCCCTACAGATCTAAAGTGTTTACTCATGTTTTAATCCTAAATTTGTCTTGTCTCAGTTTCATTGATGAGGACTGGTGTTGGAAAGAAAGAGATCAATGCCCCTCCACTTACACTGGAAAACAACAGAAATAAAGCCATTCACACCACACTGATAAACCACAAAGGAACTCCGAGGCGGAATTCACATTCAAACACAACCCCCAAAAGCTGAAGTCAGTTGCCGCAGCCTAGGATGGAAAGCTTTGAGACAGCCTCTCTCTGAAAACACGTTGCATCTTGAGTTTTTAAAATTTGCTTCTCTTACCCAACACCTCTAGCTCCTGAACAACCTCCTTCCACACAGGCTCAATGTGGATACAGCTGAAGCACCAGTCCGAGGTTATTTTAATGAGGTAGGGCTTTTTGAAACTGTCCGGTACAATCTCGTTCACGTAGTGCGAAAAATGCAGCAAGTACTTCTCATCAGACGAGTCTCGTCGCTCCGAATTAAACGGGAAGTGGAAAAAGGATTCGTCAAAGTAAAAGCTTTCGTGGAAGTGATGGAACTGGCGGTGCTGCTGCTGCTGAGGGTACCCCTGGTTCTCACCCACGTCTCCGTAACGATCAAAGTTTGATCTCTTTTCCTCATTGGAGAGGATCTGTCAATCACAGAGTTAAGAAGGGTTGAAAAGAAACAAGGCCTGGCTCATGTTGAGAGAGAACTGGAAGGATGACAATTCCCCTTCTTAAAATGATTGAATAGCCATAAAGAGCAGACACACTGGGAAGAGGACATAGGTGCTGGAACGGGGTGTGGGGGGTCTGCAGCACCCCCTGACTTGAAGTGGTTTCCATTATATACAGGATTTCCAGTTTAGATGAATGGCTCTCAGCACCCCCGCTATAAAAAATGTTCCAGCACCCCTGGAAGAGGAATTCTTTTTGCTGAACATCTACCCAGTTGAGCTCCAAGAAAGGGAACTGTCATGTCTTTTACACCTATGTCTCTGGAGCCAAATCCATGTATGTGGCATGGAGTGAGACAGAGTTCACACAAACAAACAGAACATTTATTTGGAGAATTTTGTACAAACCTACTCACTAGCTAACCATTCTTTTTAAATATTAATTTCTGGCTTCCTAGTTCTGCGACACCCTGTCTTCCAAATTCTTTTATCATTTCAGTTTCTCAGCTAAGAGGCCATAAAAACGAGTCCTAAAACAAACATAGTCCAGAAGACTATTGTGGTTTTCTCGTAACGTCAAACATTTAACAGCCACGTGAATTTGAAGAGCTGAAGCGCTCAGGAAGACAAGCAGCACTTTAAGCAGAAACTGCCGACTGAGCTGGGAGATGAGAATTCAGTTTATTCCTGGGCGCTCAGCATGGATGTAAGAAGAGCATCGGCTGAGATGCCACATGCTGATTTAGTGAAGCTTGGATGAGTGACCTGCAAGTGCTACTTATGCAAATAATATTTTAGAAGTGACTAAAGCTCTCGAGCCATTAACCCCACTTACAACATCACTGGAATATGCATAACAAACATGAAGAGATGGCACCAGCCTGCTTTGCTGAACTCAGTGGATACCCCTTACCCTTTGCTTGATGCTTTTCAGCAAGCAAAAGGCAGAACTTTACATTTGTTCTCCCACAACATTTCCAGCTGCGGGATGTTCATGGTCTATTGAGATTAATTCACATATCCCCCAATAACTGGGGAAGTGTTAAATGGCTATACAGGGTTTTTTTTTTTAAATCAGCAGCATCCAGGGGCTAGTTTTTGTCAAGAAAACCTAGACAAAGATTCCACCCGCCTACCCTGCCATACACAGAGCTGAGAAATTGTTCTATGTAGATATAACTGGAAAATAGTAAAGGCTACTTGTAAAAGATGAACAGCATTTTCCAGGCTCTAACATACATCCTGAAAGCAGCACACAGTTACCAAACAGTGTTTAATACCTCATAGGCCTTGCTAATTTGTATAAACTTATCTTCTGCTCCTGGGTCCTTGTTTTTGTCAGGGTGCCTACAATGCAAAAAATAAAGAAAATGGATTCTGTCCTTTAGAAAGCATCAGCAATTTATCACAGGGAGTCACAGCAAGCCACAAGTGTTTTCAGCTTCAGTTCAAGACTCAGACTAAGCAAGATATGTAGACATTAATGCCATTTACTGGTATCCACTTCTTAATCCAGCTGATGCAGATTTATGGCCAAAATCTATTTCTCCTACCCAGGCTGAACCACATAAAGAATTTCAATCGGATTTGAGTGGTGTATGAAAAAGCATTTCCTCGGTTTCAAATTTTATTTCATAAATAAATGGTCCAAGTGGAGCTAAAAGGTTGATTTAACACCAGGCAGTAAATTCCTTCTGCAACAAGCCTACCAATTTCAAAGATGCACGCTCTAGCTGCTGCCCTATCTATATCAGGCAGAGCAGCTACTCGGTACATCTGCAGCTCTATTCTGCATGTTAATAGTTTTCCATTATAGCATTAGACCACAACCTTAATGCCTAGGTTCTATGAGACCCCAGAAGCTATCAGATTCTGTAGTTCAGATAATCATGTTCTTCCAGATGCTGTACATCAGCTCTTCTCTTCGATGTATGAAACAGGTCTTAGTGTATGGTCATAATTTGGCTTAACTTAATTCACTTCCTCTTTTAGGAAGCTTGAAAATTTGACTTTAAAAAAAAAGCTCAGTGACTAGAAGTTGGTCATGAACAATTTTTTAAAATTTTATATATATTTAATATTTTATTTTATATATATAAAATAGATGTACTCAGTTGAGTTACTGGAGGTGAGGAGCACACGTAACTAGTTAGAGAAATTAACTAGCGAATGTGATCCTGCTGCAATTCCTACAACAACCCTAAAGATATAGTACGGAAGTTATTAAAAGACATTTGTTTCTTAAATTTCTGCCCTTGGTGATTTTTCCAATATGGTATATTTTGTAATGTACAAGATGGAGGAGGGGAAGTTTCATATTAGACCCTCCAGAATCTGATATCCAGAGTACTGAATGAACTGGAAGTTAGTACCATCAGAAAATACTACAGCATGTGCAGTGTGCAAAAATAACTAAAATTTAGGGCCAGATCCTGCAGTTCTTGTTATCAACCTGTGAATAGTCCCACTGAAATCGACAGGTCATTTGTGTGAGTAAGTGACGTGGGATCAAGACTCTCATCATATATACAGAACATAATGTATGATTAGCTTTTTACTTAGAATACACATGCAAACAAGATAACTAAACATTATAGGTCCAATTCGACAATCCTTTTCTTGAGTAGTACTTACTCACAAAAGAAGTGCCATTGAATTCAATGGGACTACTCGTGAAAGTAAGTATCAGGGGGTAGCCGTGTTAGTCTTT